GGGGGGGGATCCCTCGCCCACCAATCAATCAATCAATCAATCAGTTAATAAATCAATCAATCAATCAATCAATCAATCATTCAGTCAATCAATTAATCAAGACTTCCTATATTTTTATTTTTAATTGTTATTCACCCCCAACCCCAACTTGGCCGCCACACGGCCGCAAAGTTGCATGGCCGCGTGGCCATGATCGAGGGGGTGCGGCCCCGACCGCGCATGGCCGCTCTCGGCGGGGATTCGTAGGTTAGGGAAAAAAAAGTTATTTGTCAATGTTATCAATCAAAACGTTAGTGTATGGGCGGTTGATGATCGGCTTAACACACCGATGAACACGGCGTTGCTTCTTGAGCTGCAGCCAATGTTCCAGGTGAGAATACAATAGAAATAATTCCCACAAGAAATTAAAGTTGTAAAAATATTTCATAAATCGTTGTCTGGGTAGATTCACACTTAATAATGATGTGTCCGAAAGAGGTTGTTGGAGGTTTGGTGAGACGACAGCTGAAGGATTAATCGAAATCATTATGACCCTTTGATTAATTACATCAACGAATTCCTTTGTCCAAATGCCCTTTCGTGCGACAGAGCATCCTAAACCCCATTCATGATCGGAAGCGGATTGGACAGAGTCATTCAAAACAAGAATAGTAGAAAACAAACGCCATAGTTGCAAACCTTCATTGTCCCATGCAGTGTTGATAAGTTTAAACACGAGGGAAGATAAATAGGCACACTTGAAACAAATGACATTTGGAAATAATCTCCTCTTATCATAATATGGATTCCACCAAACAGAACACATACTTTTCGTGCAGCACGGAGTGCTATATCTAATCGGAAGAGATGAAGTTTACTGATAATGCTAACTTCTTCTATAACGGTGTGCTTTTCAAGCAATTACACGTTCATCAAACAAACTCGGGTTTTGGAGGTAATGCATTTCAACCCATCTATTGAATGTCACTTCTGCAATACTTACGTCTGCTTTGCATGTCATTGTGGTTTTTGCAAGTGCTCTTGGATGCTGCCATGTAATAGAAAATGATTGAATTGCATCAATAACATATGATTTTCTTGTTCCTCCTTCACCAGTTAGGAACATGAGCAATTGTCAAGATTCGAGTTCATTTTCAATTGTCTCAAGCGAAAGCGGACAAACCGACAAACTATTTTTTGAGCATTTTTTCCAGCTCTACGAGTTAGCAACAAAGTCAAAAGCAACATGTTGTCTCTATTTGAGATTGAACAATGTTGACAATTTTGAAATACTAGGGCATTCCTGATTAGGCGATGGAGATTCCATTGTGAATGGCGGGAATGCCATGTTTTGAGGTCAGGATGCATCGTAGAGCAAATGAAGAACAGTCGAGTGGATATAGGTATCGTGAATGTGATCATGTTTGCTTTTTATGGGATCATCAATTTTTGCGGGAAACGTTGCTTTTAGCCATGTTTGTGCGCATCGAACATTAGGAACGATCTGACGTTTTACGATAGTTTGATTTGGTGTATCGATGGCCATGGTTTGATAGTACATGTTTGTCGAGTGGAGTATGAACAAAGTTATGAAATCAAATTTAAAAGCAGGGTTATAAACAATCTTGGGTGTTAAAGGTGGAACGAATGAGAAGATGTTTTGGTCATTTAAAAACATTGCGAATAATTTCGGTGAATGAATGACAAAATCCTTATCATCAATAAAATGCAGCATGATATCGGATGTGAAGTTTTCTAATAACATGTTGTCATCATCATCTGATTCATTGTCATTTTGTATGGGAACAATACCTTCAGCCACAATGTATGCTAGATGTTGGGTTTGCGCCCCATGTGCGCGTTTATGAGCAACATAAAAGTCTTGCATTTGTAAACAAATGGTACAAGTGAAAGGAGACATTTCGTGAAAGAAGTGAAAAATATAGAATGTCAATCTTCAAAAACGGAAAGCAAATATGCCAATGTTCAAAATAGCTTAAATAGCAGGAGCGTCAACTGGGTATGATGCTCTTTAGCTTCAAATATATGACATTCAATGAAATCAAAATACGAGTTGAGGGAGGAATATTAGGAATAAATGACATACGATATCGACATAAGCATTTCACTTTTGAGAGCGGGTGTTTTCAAAGAAAGACGAGGTCTTTAATGCCGATGTCATCTTAGTTCGTTGTTGAGTATAGCATAGTAAATTTGTAAACAGATAATGATGCTAATTTAAGTGGGCGATATATATGGTCATCTAAAGGGTGGAGTATAGTGTAAGAATGTTTAACGTTTTCAACAGTGCACAAAGTATCAAAGTCGCTAAGAAATTGTTTAAGCATTTGTTTCATAGGAACGAATTTATATATTTGGCTTGCATCTGCAAAAGACCGACGGAGAATATAAAGAACGCATAGTAAACCCTCTTATTGATTAATATAAATAATTATAACGTGATTCTTCGATGTGTTTTTGCGTCGACAGGAAGGGAAATGGTCTCCTCTGCAAGTCATTCACGAGTTTGACGTAAATCAAATGCAGCAATGTGCAATGCTATATCACAATAAACTTTGTGTTAATTTTTTATCGTATATCGACATGAGTAATATATACGGTCTGTTGGCACCTCCAAAAATAGGTTGGATCTCATGATTACATTTGAAAGTTCTAAGAATAACGTTTCTGCAATTATAAATATACTCATGTGCAAAACATCGGCGGAGGTTAATGCCTGTTGGCAAAAGTTCAGTGACATTATAAAATAGTCGTGGAAAAATATATTAACAAACTTTCTCAATATTTGTTGTCCGAGAATGTTTAAAATACTACAATGATGGGGACAACGAGCTATTCCTGGACAATTTTTGGGAGCATGCGAGGCGTATGGGCTGGACCGTCGCTCAGGCGATTGAGAGATTGAGGGGAGCAGGTAGGTTCGAGGAGCCCATTGCCAGGATTCGTAGGGAGGCAACGATGAGATCAGAGGTGGAATGGAGGATGCAGGAACTGCGACCCTCGCCTGTGGGACCAGATGGCAGGCCGATCCGTCTAGAGATCGGAAATGTGGCAGACTTCATCCCTGCTTTCGAGTGGTTCATGCAGGGGCAGGATATACCGAAAGATGAGTGGGCGAGGACGCTACCGCTCTGGACCAGGAAGGCGAAAAGGCCGCTGGCTAGCCAAATCAGAGACATGGCCCGGGATTGGGAGAGCTGTAGGGCACATCTGAGAGAGGCCTTTCGACGGCCAGAGTCCCCCCACCCCAGAGTCGAGAGACGTCAGAGGAGTCAGAGGTCGAGAGACCCTGAGCCCAGGGAGGTGAGACCGTCTCGGGGAGGACGGAAGGCCCTAGCCAGGAGAGAGGAGGAGCCGGAGCGGGAGCCAGAGGTTGAAGAGCGAGGAGCATACCCTGAATGTGGGTTGGGACCAGTGGAGTTCCATCGTTTTACTGAGGGTGGATTGAGGAGGTCGCC